CCTATTAGAGGGAGAACTTGAGCCTACATTTTTCCCTCAAAATTTATGAGAAATTTTGGATCTACTCAAGAGAATTGTGCCCCTTTCTCTAACCCATAAGAGGTGATATTTTAAAAAACTTTAAATTAAAATAAAAGATAATTATTATTTTTTCTGATTTTTAAACTTTTTTTTAATTTTGAGCTAAAAATAATACTTTTTCTTTTACAAATAATTAAAAAAGGAAATAAATAAATTTTAAAAATTATTCACCACTGCATAGAGGCAAATGGAAAAAAGGGTGAGGCGCTCAAAATGCGCACTTGTGTATGTATGCATATTGTGTGCCAATCCATGCTGGGGCTACTAGTGGCTGGTTGGTCAATCGACTAATTTTTTAGCAAAGCCATGTTCAAGCTTGAGTTTCTACACAAGTAGTCCAATTTAGATGTTTTTGGGGTCATAGGGCCCATTTTTTACGTTCCAAACTCCATTTTGGTATTTTTTAGAGCCCAACATAGACTCTAAAGTCAAATTTGGGAAAATTTAACAATTTTGGTGCAAATTTATCGGTAATATTTGCTTCAATCGATGTGTCAACTCTTGAGTTGTTAAAATAATGATCTACAACATTTTACTTGGTCTTTTACCCCAATGGGAGGTCCATGTGGTCACTTCTCATAATTTTGTATTGAAAATTTTTTAAAGAGCTCATATATATATATATATATGGATTCTAAAAGCTTTAATATCAAAAAATAGGGAGAAATTAATATGTCACTAAAAATCACATTTATTAGACATGAATCTTGAGGCATATTTGAATTAGATATTACAATCCGAGAGTCTGACCTTATATTTTAATGATTATAAATATTATTGAATAGTTATCTACTTATTACTGCATATTATTATAGATATTTATTTTGTGAACTACTAACCTTTCAGGTAATATCATACATGAAGAAAGACTAAAGATTCGGGCTCAAGACTATGGTTTGTGAGTGTGTGAGTTAGACTATGTATTGAAAAGTCTATATTTTTTTCTTTTTCTTTAAGTCAATGTATGTAAAAGGTGTATGCTAGCTTAGAAATCATGCACACATAGAGAGTGAGTAAAAAATAAATATTTTAATTTGTCTTTTAAATCATACAATATAATCGGTTCAAATAAGAATTAATTAATATTTAATTTAAATAAAAAATAAATTTAAATGATAACTAATCATACAGTACGATCACCACATCATATTAGATGATTAGTTATAACTAGAAACCCTGCCATTGAATATATTATACATAAAATAGGCAAACTTGAATTTAAAATTGTATACTATTCATACTATATGATATTTTAATCATTGCTTAATTAGGTCAGTTAATTAAGCAATCAAATTAGACGTGTTGTATGATAATATATCATGTTGTATGACTCACCGTATGAGTCTTTAGACAAAGTTCATATCATCCAATATGATCATATGATAGTACTGTATGACTCACACGAGGACTCTCTAGATGACATTTAATTTGTCCTATACAAGCTGATCATGATTTGTACTAATCATATTATGCAACTGTTCATTCAGATAATACGATAAGTTAAGAAATTAAATGGATCATCCTGTGTACTATTCATCGTACAATACTATAGTGGATATTTGAACTAATCATACTATACGATCCATTGATTGTACTGTATGAATAACGATGACTAAATTAAAAATTAGGATTTTTAGAAGCCTTCTATTTAAACCTCTCTTTATTTATTTGAGGGAGTCTTTTGGAAATATGAGGAAGTGTGTTTTTTGTAAGCAAGGATTTGAAGAGAGAGAGAGAGAGAGAGATTGGAGCAAGAGAGGGAGATGTGAAGTTGTGAGAGAGAGGAAGAAGAGCCTTGTGAGTGCAAAGGAGTGTGGTAGGGTGTTTCTATACGGTTACTCTAGCCATTGTTCACTTTGTTCCTCCACGTGTCAAAGTCTTTTTTGAGGGAAAATTTGATGTATTTCTTCCTTTGTTTTCCACACTTTATTTTTCACAATTTATTTTCTTACAAATCTACTTCTTGTAATTTTTGTGTGTGTTGGTGATCATTGTGATATAAGCTTATGGTTGATTGAGTTTATTTCTTAGTTAAAAAGAAATAAAAATCAGAAAGTAATAAAAATTGTATACTATTGCATGTAAACTTTACTATTTCTGCATAGATTCATATCATATAAATATTACTATTATGATTTGATTGCTGACATGCATATTACTCCTTTGTTGTGCATGAGTTTAGTTATAGGATTTGATTAATTTTTGGGCTCTTGAGCTCATTATATATGATTAAATGATTTTAGGCCAGGGCAAGAGAAATGACTAGGATCATTCAAGTTCAATTCTTATTATTTTAATTATTCTTTTGTACTCAAGACATGATAGATATATTATGATTGTATAGATTATGAGTAGCATACCTGGTTTTTTAAGAAAATTAATACAGATGCATATATTAATGTTTTAATCAATTCTTTTATTTATTATGACATTTATATTGATGAAATAAATTATGTAGCTATGGTTGTGTAAATTACAACAATAACAACAACAACATCAAGCCTTTGTCCCACTATGTGGGGTCGCCTACATGAATCCTTTTTTGCCATTGTGTTCGGTTAAAAGTCAAATTCTCATTTAAATCTAATAAAGAAAGATCATTTCTAATATTTTATTACCAAATTAGATTCTAGGGCATGATAATTTGTCAGGGGTGTTTCCTTGGATCTTAAATTATGAAAGTGAGGCCAATAGAAATCCATAAATGATTTTTGAGATATCTAAGATAGTTCATCAAAGTGTACTTGATGACTTCAACCTATATAGAAGATATTATATTGAGTCCCACTGAGATTAATCACACCTTAAATGAGATGCGATAAAAAGTCAGATATTCCTTAAATCAAAGGTGAAAGTTTGTCTTTCTTTGTATTCTTATACTTAGAAAAGTGAAGTTTGAACATGAAAATTTTGAGAAAAACAGAAGTTATTATTCTAGTAAGAATGTTATTTCATTAATATTTCCATGCAAATTATTCTAAAAAAGAAAATTAAAGCTACACAGTAGTTTGCATGTTAAGAATAATTGATTATATTTGCGAAGATAAGTATTTTAAGTATGCAGGAACATCTTTCCTTCACAATCTTTTAGTTAGAAGGTTTATGGCATGACCATAGGCCCAATCACATAGGGGCCTTCCCAAAGGGGGTGAGATTTTATTGCATTGGTTCCCTTTTTAATAGCCAAAACTGCATAGCACCAATTATTTAATATAGATAGGTTAGAGCTTTACTCTTTTGTTGAAGGAAAGAGCTCCTTTGGTGGTAGAAGGTGGTCTTGAGTTGGGACACATTTTATATTTTTGAGAAAATATCCAAGTTATATCAAAATTTATCTTCATTACTATTAAGATCAAAAGATTGAACCCTAGAATTTGGGGGACCAAGTTAATAGTTTATATGCAGAAGTATATGTTATATCTTGTTTTACCTATGGGAGTTTTTGCATGTTAGGGAGCTCTTCAGCCCATCAGCCCCTAAAATTTTTTTGGGCATGTTTTTAGTCCTTTAAATATAGTTTGTTTTGTAACTTTAGTTCAATCATTCTCATGAGTATGGGCTATAACCATGTGAAGAAGTTGAACATGAACATTTTTACATATGGTTATGAAGTCTTTCCTAGTGAATTGTGTCCCATAGTAAATGATAATATTTATAGAAAAGCCAAAGTGGCGTGCACTTTTTCTTCGATTGGGTCTTGTGTCACTAGTGTGATGATCGATGGGAGAGGTCATGGTATCATGCCCCTAGATCTAATATGGAAGAATTTTCTCTTTGATATCATCTAGTTTACTACCAAAGACACTAACATCATATATAAGTAACAAACATAGTGGAAGCAATCTTTCACTACATTTATCCTCAAAACATATACATTATAATTCAGTCTAAAAAATCATTTACTCCAGCCACAACCATCTTTCCAATCATTCTATCTCTTATGCATTCATGACAACCAAAATAAATAGAAGAAAATAAAAAAAACACCTAAATCAGAAATATTGATCTTTCTCACTCCATAGAATCTTTATTCTTCTTTGAAATCATAAAAATCATATAATAAGCAAATGTCCCATTAGATTACAAGAATTAACCACAACATCAAAATAATATGCATGTAATCATACCAATCATATTAATAGAACATGTCTATCAATTCATATGAACAATATGAATGGTAGTGATCAATATGAATAATATAAATCACAATCATGAAAGTGATTATAAATCATTAACTCAATTCTATCACAATATATCATGAAAGGTACCACAAGAAGACTATCATATGAATCAAAGAATCAATATAGATTAACATTATAAATGCCATCATTTTTATGTTTTATCACATTTATCAGTTTGTCATGTCAGTGCTATGCATCATAAATCATAATCATGTATCACTTATAAATATAACTTTAAATCAAATAGTCCCATAATTTAAAATAACTATTAATTTTTTACTATGTATCGGAAAATAAGAAAGTTTATTTTCATTATTTTTATTTAGAAATGGGCTCTAATAAATTTACTTTTATAAATGATGAATAACAAATTTAACTCATATTTATTCTTTTAACCACGGTGGGTGGTAAAAAAAAAAAAAAAAATTGCTACACAACTCTCCTTGGCCTATTGGTTGAGAGCTTAGGCTTCCAACCAAGAGGTCCAAGATTCGAGTCTATGTGTATGGGTTGTGTGTGTGAGTTTGCCTTAATTGGCCTAATTGTCCCAAGAAATTTTTTTTTTTTTTGCTTCACGGGAGCCGCATTTGAGCGCTAAACAGGCCCAAAACAAACATTCTTTTTAATAAGTCCTGGACTTTTTATTATTTATCCAAATAATTCTTTGCAACGAAAGCGAAAGAAAGAGATGCTCATCTTTCGCTTTGTTTCCCGCTTTAATGGTGACTTTGCTGGTGGGAAAAATCCTAAATTCTGAATAAAGAGCTCAAAAGCATCTCTGCCTACTTCTCGCATAGAGCAAAAGCTCTGGTTTTGTATACTTGTCTCGTTCGCTCCCATCGATTTCCAGCTCAGCTCTGCTGTTCCTTTGTCCTCTTCTTCGTCTTCGCCACCCGTGAGAGATTGATACCGTCACCGCCAGAAACCCTACAATCTTGGATTTGAGGCCCAAATTATTGCCACTTGCCACTAGGCGCTCAATCAAACCATTTTGCTCGGGCTCGCGGAGATTTGATAAGGGAGGAAGCTAAAAAGCGGCAATGCTTGGAGTTCCTTGAGCTTGCATGGCTGGTATGGTTCTATCTCAACAATAGCTTACTTGTAGCCCCCCTCCCTGCTTCAATTTCTCAGAGGAAGAGCAAAGAAGAGATCTTGCTAAAATTTTCCGGTTTGAGTTGATAATGGCCAGTAGAAGCTACTTCTCTTATCTACTTGTAGTGTTGATAGTTTTGATCTTGATGCCGCCTTCGAGCCAATTGCAATCTTCGCAAGCGTTGACTCTTCTTAGACTCCAGCGTCTGCTTAATTTCCCATTTGGTTTAACTAGCTGGGATAGCAGGACTGATTTCTGCAATGCTGAACCAAATCCATTAGTAACTGTTGTATGCTATGAAGAGAGCATAACACAATTGCATATCAATGGGAACAATAGCTCCTCTAGGTTACCCAAAAGTTTCTCCATTGATTCATTCTTCACCACACTTACAAGGCTCCCTAACCTGAAAGTCCTCTCCTTGACGTCCCTTGGGCTATGGGGTCCAATTCCTGCAAAGATTTCAAGGCTATCTTCCTTAGAGATTTTAAATATGAGCTCAAATTTGTTGGATGGAACGATTCCGAGTGAAATTTCTCATTTGAAGAATCTTCAGACACTGATTCTGGATAATAACATTCTTGGTGGAAGACTACCAGAGTGGATTGGCTCTTTTCCACTTATGGCGGTTTTGAGTGTAAAGAACAATGCCTTGAATGGACCTTTGCCAGTTTCATTAAGTAGCTTGGTGTCACTTAGATTGCTTGTGCTCTCATTCAACGCTTTCTCTGGACCAATGCCTGATCTTAGCTCTTTGGCTAATCTTCAAGTTCTTGATTTAGAGAGCAATTTCTTTGGTCCTCAGTTCCCAAGTTTGAGCAAGAAGGTTGTTAAACTTTTCATGAGAAATAACAGCTTTAAAGGGGGAATTCCATCTGAGCTCAGTTCTTACTATCTGCTTCAGCAGGTAGATATTTCTTCAAATAGGTTTGTAGGGCCTTTCATGCCATCATTGCTGTCACTTCCCTCAATTCAGTCTATCAACATTTCTGGAAATAGGTTTACTGGTATGCTTTTTCCAAATACATCTTGCAATGATGAGCTAAAAGATGTAGATTTTTCATCTAATCTGTTGACTGGTAGCCTTCCAACATGTCTAAGCTCGAGATCCAAGGACGCCATTGTTCTGTACTCTGGAAATTGTTTGACAAACAAAGATCAAATTCAGCATCCAAATTCCTTCTGTCAGAATCAGGCTTTTGCGGTCGATTTGTTGCCTCGCAAGGAAAAGAAGACATCGGTTCATAAAGCAATTGTTGCTGTAAGTGTGGGGGGAGCTGTTGTAGTAGCTCTGATTGTCGCTTTCCTTTTGTTTACTGCCATAAGAAGAGGACAAGCTAAAAGCGTTGTAAAAAGACCTCCAAGAAGACTGATTGAGCATGCTTCAAATGGTTACCCTTCAAAACTGCTAGCTGATGCCAGTAATCTCTTGCACACTGATCCAGAGTCATCTCCTTCTATTCCTTTATGATACCTTTTGCTGAAAATTTTCAGATAATATTTTTTTTTTCAATTCCTTCTCTCCATTCAAAACTGTTGCGCGATGATTACTTTTACTTTTCTAAACAATGCTTTTCTGTTCACCTCCAAGGGTATATCTCTCAAACAATGAAGCTGGGAGCACTTGGTATTCCTTCATATCGTTCCTTTTCTTTGGACGAGCTTGAAGCAGCTACAAACAACTTTGACACAACAACTTTCATAGGAGAAGGTTCTCTTGGTCAGGTATGAAATTAACTTTTCTGTACTGATACTAAGCTTCCTTTATTTGAAGGATTTAATAGTTGCATTGGTTAGATATTGATAACTGATAAGTTCAGTTGATAAGTTGGCTTGTTTCTCCACTACCATATGCGGCTCTTGCAGCTTTTCTGAAACACTTGTTTCCTGGACCGTTGATGCTCTGCACCCTAAGTGATATCAGCCGTTGGTTCCTAACGGCTCTGCCATCTTCTTTATATTAAAAGCTCACTCACTGCAGCAAATGAAAAGAAGGAAGAATGTGCTCTAATTACTGCTCTCTGTTCTGATTTCCTTTATTTGTGCTTTAACAGTTTCGTTGCAGGAAATATATCACTACGTTAAATAGTGATTCTCTACAGCGTATCAGAGCCATTTGGTTAAGGCTCCTCATCACCCTCTCCTTCTTCCTCTACTCCAATCAAGATGACTGATACTATCTCTCCCCAACTCAAGTTCCTTATGACAAATGTCAAAGCTGTGCTCAGCACAGCTCACAGCCGAAAACCATCCCATATGGAAATCTCAAGTACTTAAACTCTTTTATGCTAATGGTTTTGACTGTTACCTTGATAGTTCCATCTCGGAACGGCTACCTTGATAGTTTCACCCCCGAACGGCTATCTTGATAGTTCCACCCCCGAACCGCAGCGATAGCTGCTTGCCTCCGATGCACCGTCAGCATTAATTTTAAGTACCAGACATGGAGGTTGATTGACCAAAACTTGGCTTTCACTCTTTATTCTACAATCTCCCCTGCCCTTCTCCCATATGTCTTTAATCTGAAATCGTGCCATGACATTTGGACAACGATTGAACGATGACTTCAATTAATGAATCATTCCAGACAACTTCAACTGAAGAGCGAGCTCCACCAACTGCAAAAGAGTGACAAAACCATGGTTCAATACCTTTCTGAGATCAAACAGAAAGTGGATGCGATTATAGCACCCGACTCATTCATTGATTCGAAGGACATTATTGTCCATACCATTAATGGGCTACCACCGGCTTACAATGCCTTTAAGACATATATTCTTACCCAACTGCAACCGATCAGACTCGACGATTTCTACTCCCTTATATGCAGTGAAGAACTGAATCTTCACTTTGATTATGCTAGTGTTCCCATTACTGCATCCTCCATAAATAATGCATTTGCACTTCAGGCAATTCGTGGTTGCACGCGTGGATGCGGTCGCTCTTCCTTGCCTCTAGCCAAGGGTGGTCGCACTTCATCCCCCCTTACTCGGGGAGGTCGCCGTCTTCGCTCATCAATTCAATTCTAGATCTGTGGCAGGAAAAACATGACAGTCAGCCCTCCAATACTGGCATCGCATTGACCTGTCCCACCAACCTTAACAATAAGCCTATCTAGTTTCTGACTCTATATCCTCGGATGATTGGTTCCTTGATACGGGTGCTACATCTCACCTGACCTCCAACCTACAATAACTTCATTCACCCCAAACTTACAATTGATCTTCACACGTTCAAGTTGGAAATGGCCAACTGCTACCTATTGTGAACTCCGATCAAGGAATTTTACCCACTCCATCTTGTAAGCTCTGTCTTCCTCGTATTCTACATGTTCCACATCTATCACATAATCTCCTCTTTGTTAACATACAAACTAATGACAACTCCTGTTTCATACTCTTTAATGCTAATGGCTTTGCAATCAAGGATGTCCGAACCAATCAGACTCTCCTCCAAAGTTCATGTCATCAAGTCTCTATCACATTAAGATGTGTTCAGTTGCTTCTTCCACTTTGCCCAGCACCATACCTACTATCCACACCACTGAACTAGCTCAAGCTACCTGGATCAGCGGCTCGGGCTTCCATCTCCATCGACTCTACAACTCTTCTTAGCATCTCTTCCTTCCCTCAAAAAGTTGTCTGCTAATTTTCATTGCTCTGCATGCGTGCGAGCTAAATCCCATAGACTACCCTTTCCTTTATCTACTTCTAAAACTACCAGTTGTTTAGAGTTAATACACTCTGATGTATGGGGACCCTCCCCAATCTTATCGTTATATGGTTATAAATATTACCTTTTGTTTGTTGATGATTATACACATTTTTGCTGGGTGATTCCTCTTCGTAATAAATCTGAAACTTTCACTATATTCCAACAATTTAAAACTCTAGTTGAGAAATAGTTTAATCACCCCATTAAAATGCTTCAAACTGATGGAGGTGTTGAGTACATCAACCATGCATTTAACACCTGTCTCAAATGATGCGACATTGTGCATCAAGTCACCTATCCCTATACACCACAACAAAATGATGTTGCCGAACAAAAACACAAGCATCTTATTGAAACTGCCCGGGCTCTTCTCTTTCATGCCAAATACCTTATAAATCCTCTTGGAATGTGTCACCTTATGAGCTTCTTCATCATTCACCACCAGACTATTCTCATCTTAAGGTCTTTAGCTGCTTATATTACGCATGGCTACCGTCTCAACTTCATCATGAATTTTAGCCTAGATCTCAACTGTGTTTCTTGGCTATGCTGATGAAACCAAATGTTACAAATGTATCAATTCTATCATAGGATGTATGCAATTTTCTCGAGATGTCAAATTCTTTGGACCATTTTTCCCTATAAAATTGCCTCAACTTCTTCTACCTTCAAACCCCTTACTTCCACTCTAGCTCTTCCCCCATCTCTACTTGTGCCACCGTCCTGTACAACCACTACATCCCATATAGTAACCATAAACTCCATATGAACTACTTCACCATCCTCATTTCAACCAACACCAACATCTTCTACTTCAAGCTCAATAAATGCAACTTCTTCTTTCTCCATACCAACTGCCCATCAGCCACCCAGTATTCAACCCAAGCATCACATGATCACTCGGCTTCAGATAGGTATTGTTCAACCAAAGATAATATTTGATTTGCAGCACTCAATCATTCCCACAAACCCAACCTGTTACTCTCAAGCTGTGAAACATGTTGTTTGGAGGAAAGCTATGTCCACCGAATTTGAAGCTCTGCAAAACCAAGGCACGTGGGTCTTTGTTCCTAATTCCCCACATCTAAGCGTATTTGGTTGCAAATGGCTCTTTAGAACTAAGTACAATTCTGATGGCTCAATTGCTCACTACAAGGCTCGCTTAGTTGCCAAAGGCTTCAATCAAGAATTTGGCCTTCATTACTTTGGCACATTCAGTCCCATTGCCAAGTTTCCAACTATTCGCATACTTTTACTATGGCATTCACTCGCAAGTGTTCTATTTTCCAACTTGATGTTTCAAATGCCTTCTTACATGGCCAACTTGAGAAAACAATCTATATGATGCAGCCTCCTGGCTTCATAAACCCAAACCTACCAAATCATGTCTGCTTACTCAAAAAGTTCATTTATTGTCTTAAACAAGCACCAAACAATGGTTTTGAACCTTCACCAGTTTTCTCATTCAATTTGGCTTTCAAGTGAGCTCGGTTGATCACTCCTTACTCCTCTTCTTTAAAGGTGGAACTCAAATATATATATCCTAGTATGACATATTACTCACGGGAAATGACCCTTCTCCTATCTCTTCTCTGCTGCTTGCGTTGCATGCTAGATTTCATATGAGAAATCTTGGAGCGGTCTCTAACTTTCTTGGCATTCAGGTGGTCAATAGGGACTCTGACTTGCACTTGTCTCAAGCCTTATATGGTGCCATGTTATTGGAAAGAGCTGGAATTAATGAAGGATTGCAAGCCTGTTTTAACCCTTATGCCCACTAAATTACCGCCACTACCACCTGACATTGAACCATTCTCCACGCCTGAACTATACTGTCAGCTAGTTGGATCGTTGCAGTATGTTACAATCACCCGTACAGATCTCTCATTTGTTGTCAATTTTCTATGCCAACATATGCATAAACCTCACAACCCTCATTATCAATTGCTAAAATGGGTTCTCAGGTATCTTCGTGGCACAATTCACCTTTGATTGCCGCTTACTTCCTCTTCATTTGAACTTCATGCTTATTCTAATTCTGATTGGGCATGATCCTACAAATTGGAGATCTATCACTGGCTATTGTGCATATCTTGGTAGCAATTTAGTCTCCTAGTGTATCAAAAAGCAATCAACAATTGCCAGCTCCTCCACCGAAGATGAATACAGAGCATTAGCTACTGCTGCATGTGATATTATTTGACTCCGTCGACTACTAGCTAAATTTCAAGCACTGCTAACCTCTCCCACCTCATTATTTTGTGACAACGTTTCAACAATTGCATTTGCAAACAACGCTGTGTTCCATGTTCGGACTAAACACATTGAAGTGGACTTCTATTTTATTCGAGATTGTATCAAATCGAAGCACATTGCTGTCCACCACATCTCCTTTGAGGACCAACCTGCTGACATTTTCACGAAATCTCTTTAGCCACCCGCTTTGAACTCTTAAGCAACAAGTTAACAATCCAGCAACACATTCTCAACTTGAGGGATGGTGATAGCTGATAAGTTGGCTTACTTCTCCACTACCATATACGGCTCATACAGCTTTTCTGAACACTTGTTTCCTGATCCGTTGATGCTCTGCATACTAAGTGATATCAGCCGTTGGTTCCTAATGGATCTGCCATCTTCTTTATATTAAAAGCTCACTCACTGTAGCAAATGAAAGGAAGGAAGAATGTTTTCTCATCACTGTTCTCTGTTCTTCTTTCCTTTATTTGCGCTTTAACAGTTTCTTTGCAGGAAATATATCACTGTGTTAAACAGTGATTCTCTACATATATAAATGCCTTGGTTCCGGCTCAGTGTTTTCTACCAGCCCCAAGAGTTCTGTTTACCCAAGTAATATTTTTTAAAATTTACTATAATAATTGTGAATACTGTTATTAAGACAGCATTAGGATACAATTATGTACACAACTAAACATACATGAGATGCTATTAGATTATTAGAAGACCTGAAAATCAAGCTAATCAGTGTTAATTCTGTGTGGAATTTGATTGTGTTGATCAATCGGGTTATACTATTATCTCAGACCTCAGTTCAGTTTGTCGTAATACGTGGGGGTGAGTCCTCTCCATGTTCTTTTCAACTAAATTTTTTTTTCTCTGTACAACTCTCCGGTGCTATGTACCCGAGCCCCCGATGCTGCAAAGTTTTTTGGGAGAAATGACAGAGAGAGAAGTGCCACAGCACTATAGATTCGGCGCCGCAGCGCTGTGGGTTTGAGCACACTTCAAGATGGACTGAACAATTTTCTTTCTCGTTTTTCTAAAGGGTTGCGTCCTTTGGTGTTATTTTACTTGTCTTTATCTTTTGTTTTGAGTTAGAAATGTGTAAGAGAGAAGAGAAGTAATGAGAGAGAGAGAGAGAGAAGAGAAATATGTACTTATTTCTCCCCATTTTCATAGTGGATTTCTTGGTTTTGTGTGGCTCAGTGGGTTTTTCCCGATTTTGAGTTTTTTCCACGTTAAATCCTGATACAATTTTTCTTTCCACTGCATTTATATTTTTCTTTCCGTTGCATTGATAATTGGGAAATATATAAAGTGGCTCGTAAGGATGCTAAGAAAGCAATATGCGATGCAAATACATTAGCTTTTAGTGTTTTATATAATATATTAGATACTAAGGAGGGAGAAAGATATATGTATAAGTTAGCCAAACAAAAAGATAGGGAGTAGTAAGGATTTAGTTCAAGTGAAGTGTATTAAGGATGAAGATAAAAAAATTACTTTTCTTAGAAGATGATATTCAACAAATTTGGATGAGATATTTTGCTAAACTTTTTAATGAAGATTGTGAAAATAAGATTGACTATAGTGACCTTAGCACCCTAAATGAAAATAAAGATTTCTGTTTTTATCGGCGTATTAGTAAAACTGAAGTTAGAGAGGCTTTAAAGAAAATAAAGGGTAGAAAAGCTATTGGACATGATGATATTCCAATAGAGGTGTGGAAATGCTTAGGAGATGAAGGAATTTCTTGGCTTACTAAACTTTTTAATACTAATTTGAAGACTAAAAATATGCCAGATGAGTGAAAAATGAGTGTGTTAATTCATATTTTTAAGAATAAAGGTGATGCACAAGATTGTGCTAATTATAGAGGTATTAAGATATGTGTCATACTTTAAAACTATGG